CACCTGTGACACATTGGGATAAGTAAAACTATCTCTATTGCATCCAATGATTGCAATACACTGGAAGTTGTTTCTGAAAGTTACCTGACTCTCTTGGGTCAGATAAATCTTCTCCAAGTGTTTTAATACAGGAGAAGGCAGTTACATTATAGACACAGATAAAATTCAATTGCCAGGATCTTTTTCAGAACATCATACCAATTAACAAAAAATAATACATCTCAAGAGAAAACCAGACTGTCATCTAGTTTGGGATGTGCTTGTTTCTAATGCTGTTCAGGAAAAGCCTTGAATTTTTGCTTAGATCCTTCTTAATCATGCCTGTAGGCATTGCTTAATCAGTGCTATGGTAAATAGCTATTCTCCCAAACACTGCTCTCCATGTTTTTGTGCATGTAAGCACATGTATATGGTAATAAACAAGACCTGGGCATTAATGTGTTCTTCAACCTACTCTTTTCATTACCTCTCAGACACTGGCCTCTTCTTGCACCGCCAGATGTACTTGTTTCCACTGTTACTAAAGTTGTGGCTATGAAAGAAGAACCAGAAACTTCCAGAACCATCTAAATCAATGAAAGTCTATTGCTCGATAAACCTGAACATTATCTTTCCAGAGATAAGAATGATAAGATTGCTAGGCTGCCAGTAGCATCTATAGTTTTGCATCGTGTGAAAGCTCAGAGAGGGCAGCAGGGCAGCAGACTGTCTTCCCATGACAACTTATGCAACTTTTCCAACTGTCTCTTGGTCTTCCAGAAGCCTTTTCAAACTGCTTCAAAAAGCTGTTCTCAACCTGGGACCTCCCAAGGCAGCCTGCATACTTGTTTTTTGCTGAGTGTGGTGGCTACTATGGCTATTATATACTAATCAGGTTCTTGGATGGAGAACCATCTGTCTTGTCTCTGGCTGAGGTTTTGGTCTCCAAGCAAGCTGGATCTCGATGCGGTGCCATGTCAAATTACATGGCAGGAACAAATTCTCTTCTTCTCTAGCCATGTTGGCTGTTCAGTCCTTGTCTGCCATCAGGATGAAGAACTGTCAGCTTCCAACTCCAAAAATCCTTGCCTCCTCTGTGGCTCCCTCCCACGCTGGCCTAGTTTTGAATCATCCTGGAAAATGGGTGTAATCATCTAAAATTTCCTTTCTGTATAAGATAATGTGCCCTTTCTGATATTAATATCTAGAGGATATCAAGATCCTCAGCAATTTAAAAATTCCAGATGGACACTAAAAAAATAGAGAGTACTGGCTGACCCTCTGACAACAATAACAAATAAGTGAAAATGTCTGTTTGCTAAAATTGTGCCAAGAAACTATTTTTGTCCCTGGCCAACACTTTGTTACTCTGCTTGCATGCCTTGGTGTGTTTCCTTCCGAGGTGGCTATTAAGTTCTATAGATACAGCAATACACATGCAGGTAAGCATTATCTATATATCTCTTGTTTGCTAAACCTGGAGTAATTTATGTAATTATACACATAATGTATTTTATCCAAATACACAAAGAATATTTTTTTCCTAAATGCCACTTAGTATCCAGATTTAACTTAAACCACTACTTAGTCTATCTTCCTTAATAGGATACTAAAAAGGAATTTTATGACAACATTATCAGTAGCGTTTTGCTGATAATTAGAATAACAATAATAATACTGAGATATTTTTTTCAGTAATAATGGTGTTATTAATGAGATTTTTATGAAAGACAGACTTCTTTAGTATAATTATGAAAATTGATCTTTTTCATTTTACTTATTCTCTGAAATCAGATAAGTGGCTTAACTACATGTATTATTTCTAATAAATATTCAAAAGAATGCATTTAAACAAGGCACCTCATTCTATTCTTG